CTCGGTCTAGATATACTATGTCTATGGTATGTCCTTTTCTACGTGCACCTCGGCTCCCACTCCTCAATACTCGGTCTAGATATACTATGTCTATGGTATGAATAAACAAGCGATATATCCAACATGGCAGTTCCCCCGGTTTCATTAAATACGCGAAATAAAAAGCACTTTTTGGGTGTACCGGCACCTTTGGGATATGTTGCTGGTGTTGGAAGAGGGTAAATTTTTTTATGTAACATATAATTATAAATAATCGAATAACTACTGAGTATAACTATAGCAATCAAGATGCAAACATATAGTTAACCTCTCTTTCTCTCCGCAGAGCTACAGGATTTACAACACGGTCTGATATCGGTCCCGCTCGAGATGCTAATGACGTTTCGTAAGTAGAAAAATACATTTCTTATTAGAAGACAACTCGACAAATGCAACATTCTCTTACAAATTATTATTTATTTTGAATGCAGAGACGATAGACACGCTCCACCCACGAAACGTGCAAAGAAGAAGGAAGAAGAGGAAGAAGATGAAGAAGATTTAAATGATAACAATTACGATGAATTTTCAGGATATGGAGGTTCCCTATTTAGTAAAGTAAGTAAAATTATTATTTTTTTTTTTTAGTTAGGTATGTTAGAGAGATAATACTATTCTAATAATTTCAGGATCCTTACGATAAAGATGACGAAGAAGCAGATGCAATTTATGAAGCTATCGATAAACGTATGGATGAGAAACGTAAGGAATACAGAGAAAAACGTCTCAGGGAAGAATTGGAACGCTATCGTCAAGAACGTCCTAAAATTCAGCAGCAGTTCTCAGACTTGAAAAGAGAATTGGTTAATGTGTCAGAAGACGAATGGAAAAATATTCCTGAAGTAGGAGATGCTAGAAATCGTAAACAGCGTAATCCAAGAGCGGAAAAATTTACCCCATTACCAGATTCTGTCTTAGCGAGGAATTTAGGTGGTGAAACATCCACTAGTATTGATCCGACTAGCAGTTTGGCCTCTATGATGCCAGGTGTGGCAACACCAGGTATGCTAACTCCCACAGGGGATCTTGACCTCAGGAAGATTGGACAGGCCAGAAATACATTGATGAACGTCAAACTGAATCAAGTTTCTGATTCTGTGGAGGGCCAAACTGTAGTTGATCCAAAAGGATACCTTACAGATTTGCAAAGCATGATACCTACTTATGGCGGTGACATAAAGTAAGTGTATGATTATTACATATTTAATTTTAAGATTGTATAAGCATTCCTATCACAATTTTTTTTTATTTTCATAGTGACATAAAAAAAGCCAGATTATTGTTGAAATCCGTCAGAGAGACTAATCCTAACCATCCCCCTGCATGGATCGCGTCTGCGCGTTTAGAAGAAGTGACAGGAAAAGTTCAAGCGGCAAGAAATTTAATAATGAAAGGTTGTGAGGTAAATCCCACTTCTGAGGATCTGTGGTTGGAAGCTGCGAGACTGCAGCCGCCGGATACGGCGAAGGCGGTGATAGCACAATCAGTGCGACACATTCCAACATCTGTCAGAATCTGGATAAAGGCCGCGGATTTGGAGATGGAGATGAAAGCGAAAAGAAGAGTGTATCGAAAGGCCCTGGAACATATCCCGAATTCAGTGCGATTATGGAAAGCCGCCGTCGAATTGGAGGAGCCCGAGGACGCACGTATCTTGCTCAGTCGTGCGGTTGAATGTTGTCCGACTAGTGTAGATTTATGGCTCGCTCTCGCTAGATTAGAAACCTACGATAATGCGAGAAAAGTCTTGAACAAGGCCCGAGAGAATATCCCGACAGATAGACAAATTTGGACTACCGCCGCGAAATTGGAAGAGGCAAATGGCAATAAGCACATGGTAGAGAAGATCATCGATCGCGCTATATCCTCGTTGAGTGCGAACGGGGTAGAGATCAACAGGGACCTGTGTCCTCTCCTTGTAAGTAATAATAAATTTTAATTATGATCGTCGTAAGGACGGTGTCCTATACATCTTTCTAAACATTAACAGACATTTTCAAATTGATCAACAAAATATCGGCCGTTCTACATTGATAATAATTAGCATATTATTTGATTGTTGGCTGCACCAAATGATTTTGTGATAGTGACCAAATATCTGAGAAAGTTGAATGGAATTATTTAGCAATATTTATCAAATATTTAATTACAATTCATCAAAGATTTTGTGACAAATATTAAATATTTAATAATTGTTTCTAAGTGGACTAATTGAAGATTTAGTAATTATTACCAAATGTGGTAATAGTTATTAAATATGCAATTAAAATTCACAACAAAGTGTATTTGATAATTATTATCAATCAGTTTGTTTCAGTGCAGAAACGGCGCGTGACGCTCGAGCCCAGTGCCCATCGATAATTGTCTTGTATTCTTGAGAAAATGTAGCGGAGCTATCATTTCCTCACCACCTTGCGGTAGATATCATGGCGCGTTTTTTTAAAGTGGTTTCCTCAGTAGGCCTAATCCACTCTCATTTTTTAATGTAAAAGCTGTTCAAAGTGGCTCCCTCGTTCTTGAACGCATAGTTCCGCTCTTCGAACAACATTGCGCGTCACACGATGCGCCATTTTAAGCGTGATAGTATTGAAGGCCGCTAGGATTGCTTGGCGTACTTCTTCTTCCGTATCATTACGTCGGTGCTCAATTATGCTCTTAACATAGCCCCATACAAAAAAGTCGAGCACATTAAGGTCTGGCGACCGTGCTGGCCAAGAAATAGGGCCCCCTCGACCCATCCATTTCTCTGGAAAACGCGCGTTCAAAATTTGCCGTACTTGACGGGAAAAATGCGCAGGAGCTCCGTCTTGCTGATAAATCAGTTCTGCTCGTACGCGGAGAGGAACGTCCGCGAGAAGCAGCGGCAACTGATTTTCTAAGAAGTCCGCGTATATTTCCCCGTTAAGACACGGAGGAAGAAAGTATGGGCCAATCTGAAAAGCGCCGACGAAAACGTTTAAAGAAAGCCACGGGAGGAAAATTCTTTAATGCACATGACTACTCACCACTCTGTTTGCAATTACTCCTGCCCATACATTTATCGACCAGCGATATTGAAAGGCGCCCTGACGAACGGCGTGCGGATTTTCTTCTTGCCACAATAAAAAATTGCGGAAATTAAACACGCCGTTCGGTGTGAATGTAGCCTTATCTGACCATAAGATTCGGCCAGGGAATGATACATTCCGCCGATACTGTGCGAGGAACCCTGTGCGTGTTTTGCCTATTGTTAATATACGCTATAAACATCGCGAATGTCGAATAAAAATAATTAAAATACCTTCACAAAAATAAATGCGTCGTTCGTAATCTCCTGCAAGAAGTTGCTGAACTCGCTGAAAATGATACGGGTGCAATGCGTTTCTACGTAAAGTTTGATGCACCACGAATCGCGAGTAACCGAGCGCACGAGCTACACGGCGCACACTGTTTCCCGGATTTTCTTCGAAGATCCGCAGAATTCTCTCTTCGTCATAGCAACGAAGACGCTGTGGTGCACCACAAGTGTGATGTGTCCACGGCAGAAGAGATCCTGTATCTTTCGCACGTTGCATGCATCTCACAAAGAAAATGGTACAGGACTTTTCTGTTCAGTTTATTGTGCTCTAGTGCCGCTCCACAATAGGTGATTTAAGCCCTAAGCCTTAAGAAATTGACTAATCACAGTATATATATATATTTGAATAGAAAAATTAGGAACATGACAAATTATATAATCATAAACTATATAATCAGATGAAGAATTCACACTCTTGTGTCTGATGCCTCTGATATACAATGTTGGCATCCAATAGGAGAGTTTGTTTCCTAGGGACAAAAGTGTCACTTGTTACAATCCACATTTTCTATTGGATGTCATACATTCAGTGAATATAAAAGAACTGTCGGTCTTGAATATTACTATGGGCGTTTTCCAGACGACACAGTGTATTACACATTATCACATGATTGGTTGTCAAATGAAGAAATTTAAAATATAGCCAATCGCGTGATAACGTGTAGTACATTGTGTCGTCTGTGTACTTTATTGGAAAACGCCCTTTATCAGCGATTAAAGATAGGGGAAAAAAGAGAGAGAGAGAAAAATGTAAGAATGGCGCCATCGCAGTTGTTTCCGTCCAGTTCCGTCGGTTCTGCAGGCGCGGCGCGATCTCCTAGTTTGATTGTCACGATTCTCCTGTGTACTTGAGTGTCCGAGTTTCGTGTCCGAGCGAGACCGAAGCAACAACGAAGTAGGGTCCCCGTCCCGTGTAATCGGCAATTCCGCCGATCGCGCGCGCGTCCCGCGATGGCGTCCGCGAAGAGAAAGCAGGACGAGAGGAACCTGAAGACGTTGCGCGAATTCGTCTCGCAGCCGGGCAACAAGCAATGCTTCGACTGCAACCAGCGCGGGCCGACTTACGTCAACATGACAATCGGCTCGTTCGTCTGCACTTCTTGCTCTGGTATGCTGTAAGTAACTCTCTGCCAGCTCTCACTTCGAGGTCACCCTTTTGGAGGACATTTCCCTCTGGGGCCCCGGTTGAATCCGAAACCAGTCGTGTACCCTCTCCTCTCGTCGAGCCCACACTCCGGGAATCCGGGACATCGTGTCGCGTACATGATTATTATACATCATCCTCGCGCGTCATCGAGCGCGTATGACATTGAGCTGACAAATGTCAACGTCTCGAAGGAAAGAGGGGAAGTAGCGTCGCAATTGTCACACCAGGACATTAGCTAATTCGATTTTCCCCGAAAAAGGAAACAAACGGGAACGGCTCTATACAATGGCTAAATCTTACGGGATAGAGTGGGACAGTGAATGGTCGAATCGCAAAATTGTTGATTGGCATGTCAGGGGCCAGTTCGGGCCTAAAACGTTCGTTCCGCGTTTTAAATCGTAGTCCTGGCTACTGTGTGATGTAGGGGCTATAAATAGAAAGAGAGAGAGAGAGAAACATTTTCAAGGGTTTGAGATCTTTAAAAGTCTTTCTCTGTTTATAGAGTGACCAACTTTTGATCAACCAATTTCGGGATATCGATTTTAAAAAATCGGGACACAATAAAAAAACAAAACAATTTTTTATTGATATAATTTTAATTATAAAACATAATACGATTATATGTAATATTGTAGTTTTATTGAGTTTTTTTTTATAATACTAATACTATAGAAAGAACTAACATTCGACTATGGAGGTTCGTTTTATATTTAATTTACTTTAGATTGATTAATTTGATGATTGACTCCTATCTTGACTCTTATTTTTGGTTTGTATTTACTATTCATACTCAACGTCAAACAATCAACAAAACATAGTCTTCTATTATTTTTTAATATAAATAATCATTAGTTTAAAACTGATACAATTCTTAAAATAAAATTAAAAACAATCTATTATTATGTTTTATATTATTTATTTTATGTTGAAAAATCGGGACAAATAGCGTCCTGTTTAAGGTTCTTTCGGGACGCTTCTAATGAGAGCCGAAAATCGGGATATCCCGGAAAATTAGGAACGGTTGGTCACCCTATTTCTATAACTATTAAAATCATTGTAAGATTATTATAGTATAAAAATATTATCATAAGAAAAATATTGTTAAAAGTTAAGTTGAAAAATTATAAATACTTATAATTAGATGAAAACATAATCAGATGAAGAATTCACACTCTTGTGTCTGATGCCTCTGATATACAATGTTGGCATCCAATAGGAGAGTTTGTTTCCTAGGGACAAAAGTGTCACTTGTTACAATCCACATTTTCTATTGGATGTCATACATTCAGTGAATATAAAAGAACTGTCGGTCTTGAATATTACTATGGGCGTTTTCCAGACGACACAGTGTATTACACATTATCACATGATTGGTTGTCAAATGAAGAAATTTAAAATATAGCCAATCGCGTGATAACGTGTAGTACATTGTGTCGTCTGTGTACTTTATTGGAAAACGCCCTTTATCAGCGATTAAAGATAGGGGAAAAAAGAGAGAGAGAGAAAAATGTAAGAATGGCGCCATCGCAGTTGTTTCCGTCCAGTTCCGTCGGTTCTGCAGGCGCGGCGCGATCTCCTAGTTTGATTGTCACGATTCTCCTGTGTACTTGAGTGTCCGAGTTTCGTGTCCGAGCGAGACCGAAGCAACAACGAAGTAGGGTCCCCGTCCCGTGTAATCGGCAATTCCGCCGATCGCGCGCGCGTCCCGCGATGGCGTCCGCGAAGAGAAAGCAGGACGAGAGGAACCTGAAGACGTTGCGCGAATTCGTCTCGCAGCCGGGCAACAAGCAATGCTTCGACTGCAACCAGCGCGGGCCGACTTACGTCAACATGACAATCGGCTCGTTCGTCTGCACTTCTTGCTCTGGTATGCTGTAAGTAACTCTCTGCCAGCTCTCACTTCGAGGTCACCCTTTTGGAGGACATTTCCCTCTGGGGCCCCGGTTGAATCCGAAACCAGTCGTGTACCCTCTCCTCTCGTCGAGCCCACACTCCGGGAATCCGGGACATCGTGTCGCGTACATGATTATTATACATCATCCTCGCGCGTCATCGAGCGCGTATGACATTGAGCTGACAAATGTCAACGTCTCGAAGGAAAGAGGGGAAGTAGCGTCGCAATTGTCACACCAGGACATTAGCTAATTCGATTTTCCCCGAAAAAGGAAACAAACGGGAACGGCTCTATACAATGGCTAAATCTTACGGGATAGAGTGGGACAGTGAATGGTCGAATCGCAAAATTGTTGATTGGCATGTCAGGGGCCAGTTCGGGCCTAAAACGTTCGTTCCGCGTTTTAAATCGTAGTCCTGGCTACTGTGTGATGTAGGGGCTATAAATAGAAAGAGAGAGAGAGAGAAAATTTGCTGACCACGTCAAACGCGATATACATACGATCCTTGGAGAATCTCTATATAGGACGTATATAGTCTCTATATACGAAAATCGCGACGCGGAATCGCTTCGGGCAACATACACCTGTACAAGCTTTACATCTCGTTACATTGTTGCGACGCGGAGAAGAATAGAGAAGGAGAGAGAGAGAGAGAGAGAAAGAAAGACGAGAATGCTCTCGCTCCAGTGAGTCATCGCGCTAAAGGTCCGCGTATCCACCAGCCAGGAAGTTGTCGCTATCAGTAGCCGTTGACGTTTTCTCTTTGTGTGTAACTCTAAGTTTATCAGTGGTCAAAATGTTACACATACATAGCAACCACGCACGAATCACGCGAAAGGAGAGAAACTCAAAACTTAAAATAAAATTAAAAACAATCTATTATTATGTTTTATATTATTTATTTTATGTTGAAAAATCGGGACAAATAGCGTCCTGTTTAAGGTTCTTTCGGGACGCTTCTAATGAGAGCCGAAAATCGGGATGTTCCGAAAAATTCGGGACGGTTGGTCACCCTAGTTGTACCATTAAAAAAAAGGCCTACAACAGAAAGAGACAAAATGTCACATAATGCCCTCTTTTAGAGAAGGAGAGAGAGAGAGAGAGAGAGAAAGAAAGACGAGAATGCTCTCGCTCCAGTGAGTCATCGCGCTAAAGGTCCGCGTATCCACCAGCCAGGAAGTTGTCGCTATCAGTAGCCGTTGACGTTTTCTCTTTGTGTGTAACTCTAAGTTTATCAGTGGTCAAAATGTTACACATACATAGCAACCACGCACGAATCACGCGAAAGGAGAGAAACTCAAAATGCATTCTCTCTTCTCTTCTCTCTCTCTCTCTCTCTCTCTCTCTCTCTCTCTCTCTCTCTCTCACTCTCTCTCTCTCTCTCTCCGTCATATTTTTTTAATCATTTTTATTTAAAAAAGATTGTAAGATTGTTGACGCGTGATACGAATGCGGCTATCGACTCGCGCTCTTAATCGGCGCGTCGCACGAGGTGGTCGCACGCGCGCGCGTGCGAATTTTTAAATCTCGTTACTGCATCAGCTATAAGTAGGTACGCGGGACGCTTCTAATGAGAGCCGAAAATCGGGATATCCCGGAAAATTAGGAACGGTTGGTCACCCTATTTCTATAACTATTAAAATCATTGTAAGATTATTATAGTATAAAAATATTATCATAAGAAAAATATTGTTAAAAGTTAAGTTGAAAAATTATAAATACTTACTCTCCGTCATATTTTTTTAATCATTTTTATTTAAAAAAGATTGTAAGATTGTTGACGCGTGATACGAATGCGGCTATCGACTCGCGCTCTTAATCGGCGCGTCGCACGAGGTGGTCGCACGCGCGCGCGTGCGAATTTTTAAATCTCGTTACTGCATCAGCTATAAGTAGGTACGCGTTCTACGCCGTATATTAGAGGCACGCGAGCCGTTATTACTTGTCACGGAATATTTTAATGATTTGGAAAGTTAAGGGAATTGTAGAATGAAATGGACAAGGGAACTGTGGGCTGAACAACGTTGGAATTAATCGTATGACGCAATTGTAATTATTATGCGAGCATGCGTTCATCGATTTTTCATAGGTTTCCTTCTCTCTTTTTCTCGTTTCGCACATTTTCTAATAAATTTAGATGATTTAGACAATAAGAAAATTATATATATACATATATATATATATATAATTATATAATTATATTATAATTATCGTACGCGATAATTTCTTCAGAGAATTTGTGTCCGTCGGAGAATCCGGAGGAAAATGTAATAACGAGTAATGATTCACGTTGTGTATACGTTTAATATTTCGCTTTGGCGAGTTGAACTGTACAATAGTATTCGCGATAATTAAATCTGATTGATTTTCCGAATTAATACGGATTTAACGGGTATTAATTGAACTTTAATTAAATTTGTGCCGATATATGAGACGGACGAGGTATTCATCATACAATTTATATATATATATATATATACATTGCTTAGTAATGATTACGTTTACATGTGCATGCTTGTATATCTAAAATTCGCATTTATCAATATCACGGCGAGGATCCCTAAATATCTGCAAGTTCTCATTTGTATTTTCAGACGAGGCTTGACTCCACCACACAGAGTAAAATCAATTTCTATGGCAACATTCAGTCAGGAGGAAATAGATTTTATAAAGGAGCATGGTAACGATTACTGCCGAAGAGTATGGCTAGGCCTGATGAACATGAACCCACCGCAAAACTTGGATACTAAGGACGAACAGAAGATGAAGGACCTAATGAGCGCCAAGTACGAGCTCAAGAGATATTACCTCGATCCGTCGATCGCGAATCAGAATAATACGGCGCAACAAAAATCATCCTCGAGCAACAGTAGCGGCATTCCGAGAGTTCCCAATTCGGGAACGCTGCCCGCGCCAGTTAGTCAGAAATCAATCGATAACGCGGAGTCGAGAAACAATTTGAACAATTCGAATAATTTCTCGACGGATTTCGTCGCCGATTTCAGTAAGGTTCCTTCCGATCCCTTCTGTCCCGCGACAACCAATCACTTCGGCCAGCAACCGATCGCGCCGCAACCGACGTTCTTCGCTAACTTCGACAATAATCCGATCTTCAATAATTCGAATAGTGAGTATAAAAAGGCGTTATTTTCTTTTATGGCAGAATCAAATCTGAATCGATTGATTAATCTGAGCGACGCTTGTCTTACAATGAACAATTTTATTATTGAGGTGTGGAAACGTCCGCAATGTTTAATCAGGTCGGTTCCACGGTAAACGGGGCGCACGCGCCACCCTCAGAAGATCGTTATGCGGCACTTAAAGACTTAGATTCGCTGATGAAGCAAACGCAATTGAAAGAGGAGACGGCAGGAA